AATGTCGATCGCAATTCATAAAACTGTAGACATAATAATGTCCGAGTCATTAGATTTTATTTTTTACAATCACCTAATCGTCTAAGTCATGACACCGGGAGCTCATACTCTCGTATCCATTATAGTTACCATTTGTGTACAACTTATTAGATCTCAAACTCAAGAGTCAGTCGTCTGGACGTTAGATAACTTAATACCAAAAGACTATAACAAACACACAATTCCTGTAATTAATGGCTCGCAGATGACTATATCTATTGGTATTGAAGTCTTTGATTTGGTTAGCGTTGTCGAGTCCGGACAGGTTTGCCATCAATGAAAACTTATGAATTTTTTCCACAACTATTTCTTTTACAGTATTTTGTAATGGATTTTAATTTTCAACAAAAATGGAAAGACCACAGACTTGTGTTGCCTATCAATATGCAAAGGGATAGCAATATAATACTGGACTCTTCGTGGGCGTCCAAGTTGTGGACTCCGGACACCTATTTTAGCAATGCTTTAGAAACGAAAATTTTAAGTGTTGTAAATCCTATAATATATTACACCATAACTAATGATAAAAATGTATTGCAAAGCATTAGAATGAATGTTAAATTTCAGTGCAAAATGGATTTGTCTCAATATCCACAGGATATTCAATACTGTTCAGTCGATATCGCCAGCCGTAAGCAACTTATCATTTATTTTTAATAATAATTTACTATTTATTGCAATATAAAACTTGATATAATCAAGTGATTATTCTTTCCGTTTACTTATCCATTAAAGTGTTACAAAAATATTAACACTATATTTAGAGTAATTGAAATTTTATTGTTATATAATGTTACACACTAGAGATGCAACATGTTAAAATAAATGTTGTATATTATATACAATTATATATATTTTAGGTAATTTTATTTAATTGGAACAAATATTTCATTGCTTTGTATAACTAGTGACGAGAAATAATAAAAGTGTTTCATTGGAATGGAATTACTTCAAGAGTCCACCACTCGATGATAACCCAAAGTTTCGCTTAAGAGATACCGACATAGGATTGTGTGAAAGAC